TACATCACTGTCTTCATCCTCTGACCAACTTTCATCCGATGATCCAGTATTTACTATAAACCTTAAATGGTCCATTGTGGAGTCCAACAAATGTTCTTTTTTAATTTGTGTAGCTTCATATTCCTTGACATGTCGACAAATGTTGACCCACTCTTCTACTTGCAATGTTGCAAACCTTTCTCGTGTTAACGATTCTACATTAATTAAAGTGACTGTGGTATTTCTAGCTGCTACCCAATTTTTTACAGAAGCCCATATTTTTTCAATTGGGTTGAAATCAGGGTGATAAGGTGGAAGCCGAAGGACTTTGTGACCGTGTGCCTCCAATAATCTGTCTAATTTATAAACTACCGGAAATCTGTATTTATTATCTTTAATAATTTTGTACAATTCCGGTTTTGTCATTGATTCCTGAAAAGGTATGTCTTTTTCTTTTAGCCATTTTGTCATGGCTAATTTGAGACTTGCTGATGTTATATTTCGTTCCACAGTTACATTGTGGTATGAAGCATTGTCTATAACTAATACAGATTTCTCCGGCAAATTAGGCAACAGCTGTATTTCAACCCACCATTTTCAAGAGAAAAGTATTTGAAAATTTCATGATAAGTTATCCGAAAGTGTAAACAATAATTAGTATGCCTGTGAAATCAAAAATTTAATTTTTTTTTTTACTTTGGAAAACCGGTGACTAAAGGAAATTTTAGAAAATATTTAGAAAAATGTGCCATCACGACTTCACTTGTAACACCCTGTATCTCGGAAAAGAAACGTTTTCGGACTTATGTTTATATGAACTTTTACTCCTATTTTAGGATATAGATTACTGTTAAAATATGACCGTCTAATTTCGGGACACCCTGTATATATAGAGGTGAAGCTACCTGTGTAATGAGGATAAATGTGTATTTTTTGAAGAAACTGTTTGTTTTCTGGGGTATGCAATTTCCAAAAAGGGTATTCGCCTACAAAAAACTAAAGTGGAAGCTATCTGTAAAGCTCCCACTCCTACAGATATAACCCAGTTAAGGTCCTTTCTTGGCTTACTCAATTTTTATGCAAAATGTATACCCATGTTATCCACTATTAATGCTCCACTTTATAAATTGCTAAAAAAGGAAGTACCTTTTGTTTGGGATGATACTTGTCAAAAAGCATTTGATGAAGCTAAGCATGCAATACTTAACTGTGTCACTCTGGATCATTATGATCCTACCTGTCAAATTGTTGTGGCAGCGGATGCTAGTAAATATGGTCTAGGCGCTGTACTTAGTTATGTTAAAAATAATGAAACTCGTCCTGTTTTGTATGCCTCATGCACATTAAGTGCAACAGAAAAAAATTATGCTCAAGTAGAGAAAGAGGCTTTGGCTTTGGTTTTCGCAGTGAAAACCTTTCACAAATTTATTTATGGAACAAAATTCTTATTGATTACTGACCATTTGCCATTAAAAACAATATTTGGCCATAGAAATAGTATACCTACGTTGGCTCATGCCAGATTACAACGTTGGGCTATCATATTATCCACATATAATTATGAGGTAGTTTATAAAAAGGGTGTGGAATTAGCGAATGCTGATTGTCTCAGCCGACTACCATTAAAAGTATCTTCAAATGTAGAGGAAGTACTATCATTTTCAGTTGAGTCTGTTCTTCTTCTCACAGCTAAAGACATTTTATTGAAATCAAAAAGAGACCATATACTCATAAAAGCTACCGAATTTACAAGGTTAGGATAACCTAATTATACTGATGAAGAGTCATTGAAACCATACTTTTATCGAAGGAATGAGTTGAGCCTTGATAATGGTATCTTGACTTGGGGAAACCGTATCATCATCCCTTCTTCTTTAAGAACATCAGTATTAGAGCTATTACATGATCAGCATCCTGGAATTACCCGGATGAAACTTAAAGCTAGATCAGATATTTGGTGGCCTGGCATGGATAACAATATAGAACAAATTGTGTCCTCTTGTGAGCCCTGTCAAGTATTTGCACATCAACAAAAATAAATAAAATTAATACCTTGGCCTACTTCAAATAAAAATTGGGATAGAGTACATATAGATTTTCTCAAAATAGAAAATGTAAATATACTCTTAATTGTAGATTCTACTACTAAGTGGGTAGATGCCTATATTATGGCTTCAGGGACAAATGCAGTTAAAACAATTGAAAAATTGAGACACTCATTTGCTATATTTGGCCTTCCTGCTACCCTAGTAGCTGATAATGGACCCCCTTATAATAGCGAAGAATTTCAGAAATTCTGTAAATCTAATGGAATTCAGTTAATTCACTCACCCCCTTATCACATTCGTTCTAACGGATTAGTAGAGAAAATCGGCAGCACCATTAAACAAAATTTAAGAAAAACCTTATTTGAAACAAAAACTAGATTGACACTTCAGCATAGACTTGATAATTTTTTGTTCAATTTTCGAAATACCCCTAGTTCTGTTACACAAAAGAGTCCTGCTGATTTAATTTTTAAACAGAGTCCAAAAACTAAACTGTTGATGCTAAAACCATCTAATTTAAAGGAGGAAGTAACTGAAAATTATGAAAGAAGATTATTGGAAAAGGAAAATAAGCACAGAAGAGAAATGCTGTATTTTATAGAGGAATAGTTATGATGTATGTAGAAAAGGAAAAGAGATGGATTAAGGCTAAAGTTTTGAAGACTTTAAGTAGATGTACTGAAGTAGTATTATAAATACAGAATAAAAATAAATACTTACTTTTGAACAACAATATCTTATTCAGGTTTGTTTCTATAATTACAGGCAACAAAAATAATCCATAAAATAAAAAAAAAATAAATCCAAACGCCATACGTTTCTTCCTAAAAAAAAAAATAACACCCTGTATAGTTATTTTTTTTAATGCAATGTAAGAAAAAAAGCAGAATTTGACAGATATAAGGTAAAATTATATAAAGCTGTGTCATTGGTTTATTTAACAAGCAACAAATATTTTGATATCTGAAGGGGAGTTAGATTTGAGCAAATTTTATCATTAAAGTTTGAATTCAATTATTATAAAGTCATTTTGTGAATCAATTATAGTTTATTATTAAAATACAAACCTTTTTAAGTAGAGTTTTGATGATGTCATAATTTGAAGTAATTTCTATTGGTTTCTAAAACCTCAGTAAGCGTAAAGGGAGGTTTGGTCCATAGCAACCCCTAGTTACGGGATAAATAGGGACTTCTAGAAAAATCTAAGATGGAGACGAAAAAAAAGGTGTCACCTGAAAGAAAATTAGTTTAAAAAAATCAATAAATATTGATTTGGATAATTTAAACAGTATAAAAAATATTAAGTAAGTCAATGACATACAATTTATAAATTATATTGCTTTGTATGAATGAATTTATAAAGAAAAATTCAACTTACCGGCCACAAAGTGTCTTCAAAGGATTTGGAGTGTCTCATCCAAAGAAAGAATCCGATATAACGTAAGTGCAAGCAGATCAATTCCCATATTTCACATTATTGAGTCATGTGTGCTACAAACAAATAAACCCAGTGCACATTATAAGTTAAAAGAAAATATAAACACTAAAGAAAGAACTTTTCATTCTTTAAAAGTTTCATATAGTTACCTAAAGCTTGTGAAGATAAGCGAAAACAGTGTAGATAGTTTAAAAAACTTTTCTTTATTCCAAATACACATTTTGATATTATTTCAATAGAAATACAGGTTATGTTGTGAAATAGGATAGAAAATAGAAAGTATTTTCGTGATTTTTATCCAGAGCAATATAAAGTCATTCCAATTTTCGATATTTGCAACGCAAATAAATGTTCTTACTTAAATTTCTACTCAACAGAGGTTATGAATAGTAATCTACCTGGTACTTACGAGGTTTATTCGTAGATGGTAGCACGATCTCGCGTTTTGCGTGTATAGTAGGTCACGCAGAGAGATTAAAAATTAAAATAATCTGGATAAAAAAAAAGGAATACAAATTATAAATTTTGATCAAAATTTTTAATAATTTCACGAATATACAGTAAGGTGTACATATTAGTTTAAGGAATTTTACTTACATGAATGTTCATTGTTATTTATGTCAAATTGTGTTTTATTTTCATTTTATGAAATAAAAAAAAATCTGTTATTTGAATCTTGAATGATAATTATCATTATTATCAGAGTATTTGAAGTGTTTAGAGCGCCAATAGAACCCAACCTGAGATAAGAGCCCAAAAGGTAAGTGGGAAACTTACCATAAATATTAAATTTAAACTATTTTGTTAAATCTATATAAAAACGACTGAGCATAGTTTTATAAAGGGAAGTTTTGGTTTTCTTTTCGATAAAATAAAAAAAAAACAAACTAAATAAAAATAAATATAAAATAAACAAACCAAAACAGTACCTACCTAGTATGGTGCCAAAACAAAGTAAAGTTCGTACATTCGGACAACATGAAGAAAGACCTGATAGCCGATTCACATATTACCCCTGTGATTAATACATCGCCACCTAATTTGGAAAGAGGTGTCGAGATACCAATTATTAGAGAAGATCAAGGGAATCAAAATACTTCTGTTGATGAACCTATAGCTTCCAAGGTAATGGAGAACACCCAGCCTTGTGAAATCCCCTCTCCTGTAATCCCTACTACTCCCAGTTCTACTTTGAGAATTGTAGGTTAGATTTATAAGTTTAGTTTTAAGATGTAGTATTTTTTATTTAAGAGGGAAGAAATGTATAAACGAACAAATATTGTGCAACAACCGAACGCACCAAAAATGTCAATTGACAACATTGATGTTGGAGGTTAGGTATGAAAAAAAGACAAGTCTTGACATGTCATTGAATAGAGGTTTTCTTTGTATCTGTAAGATGTTCAATAAAGTGTTCATAAAAGCTGTGGTGTTTGAGTACTAATCCTGGGGCAAATACAACACACACATCTGATTTTTTTTATTCCAATCTGATATAGGATGACAAACAAATTTACAAAACGTACTTAAATTGTATCTTATCTCTGATATGGAAGTAATTGTTAATTTATGTTTTTTATAAAAAATTTAAAATGTATCGCCTATAAGCACTTAAGTAATTATCTAGAACGTTTGTATCTCAACAACACGTTTAGATTTTTCGTTTAGATAATGGAAAAGTAATTGAGAATTAAGGTATATATATATCGATGAATAAAATAAAATTTTATTCATCAAAATGCATTCTTTATTAGCAATCTCGTGCGTTTTTATTTGTCTTGCAACTAGTTTTGCATTCCATGTGAAAAATGGTAAGTTAACTAAATAGGTAACTAATGTTTATTAATTATTATACATCAACCAATAACAACCATCATTTATTCCAACATACGCCAATCAGAACAAACTGGAACTGAAAATACTACATACTGCAGCATGGTTCGTAGACAATACCATGGCCTCGTCCGGTTGCTAGGGGTGGGGTGTGACGTCACAGAATGAAAAATTGAAAATTGAGACGACAGAAAATATTATGCACATTAGTTTTTAAAATAATCTGATATTTTAAATATTTGTTGCTGTTTATATCTATTTTTATTTTTAGACTATTTTTCATTATTAAGAGTTTTTCTAATATAATATAAAGGAAAAATTATATTATGATTTTCATAAAATTTAAAATAAATTACATTTTACTTTTCTGTCTGTATAGCAGAGCTGGGTAATTACATATACTATATAAGTAATTACAATTACAAAGTTCATATTGAAAAAAGTAATTAATTACAATTACAAAGTACATGTTGTAAAAATAGGAATTCTACAGGGTGGGCCATTAGTGCGTGGGTGGAAGATTGCGGGTTTATTAAGGTACATTTTTAAAATTTATTTTTGAGGAATGGTGTAGGACCTCTAAGGCTACAACCTAAAAATATTTTCGATGAAATTCCAATTGTTCTACAGGGTGATTTATATCAAAGTTATATTTTTTTAATAGGAATCCCTTGTATATTATTGGATATTTGGATTCCTCGGTCAATTTTAGTGTGACTTTATGTATCACACATGGTATCTAAAATAAGTAGATAAGCAGCAATTCATTATTTTTTCAAAAAGTAGATGTCTAGTAAAAATTGAATATCGCAGTTATTATAAAACTTAGAAGGCCGTGACTCTACAGTATTACTAAGCGTGAAATGTACTAACATTTGCCAGACGATTAAATTTAAACCCTTTTCGTGTTTAAAGAAACCGCTACGCCAATTTGCAAAATTTTAATCCAAGGTAACTTAATTATTTTAAATGGGACTACTAATTTTGTTTTATTTCATTACATGCAGAATTCGATTACCTTTCTAATGATATAAACATATGTTTATATTTATCTTTTACAGATTTCTTATTTAAAAATTCTATTAATTCACAGTATTTTTCAATTTTTAAAACCTTTTAATTAGTAGGCTATGAAAATAAAGTAAATCTGTCACTTTTTGTAACATTAGAAATTATTAAATGAAGAAAATGAAACTAATATTTTAACTGCAGTGGTAGAAAACCCTCATACTAGTACTCGCCAACTTTAAAGAGATTTTCAAATAAGCCGAACCTTTATCAGAAGAATAATAAATAAAAATAAATTCCATTCTTATCATAGTCAACTTCACCAATAGCTCAAAGAAACAGATTATAAATACCGGATAAATTTTTGCAATTGGGCAGAAGAAAAATTAAATGAGTGTACCTTTCACCGAAATGGTTATATTAATCAGCACAATTTTCATTATTATTCAAATGAAAACCCTCACTATTTCAGAGTCAATAGTTAGGAGAGATGGTCGGTTAATGTTTGGGCAGGCATAATAGACACTTATGTTATTGGTCCTTTCTTTTTTGATGGTGTTTTAAATTCAGAAACTTATCTAAATTTTTTAAATAACCATTTATTTGGTCTCCTTGAAGATGTACCACTTGCTCAAATTAGAGATATGTACTTTCAACAAGATGGAGCACCTGCACATCGTGCCTGTGTTGTAAGCGCATGGCTCAACAATACAGGGTGTCCATCTATAAATTGACACATTTTAACAACTTATAACTCGAAAACGGAAAAAGATATCGATATGCAGTTTTCACTAGACCTTTTACATTTACTTCAAGTTTTTCTTGACATTGTTGTCACATGTAATTTTTTTCTAGAAAGTGCCGAAAAAAAAACGAACTTTTTTGAATCAAAATTGTGAGCTTATTTTAAATAGAACACCATATAATTTTTAACATCCTCGGAAAGACCATTTCTTTCCCTTTCCAAAAATGTATTCACTGTAAGCATTTATTCAATTTTTTTGGGAAAAATTTACTCTTTTATGAAACCATGTCGATAACTTCTAAACGTAAAGTATCACAATTTAAAAGCCTTTAACTCGATAATGTGACAATTTTTTGATAAGAGGTTTTGACTAAAATTCTGGGAAATGTTTAATTTTTTTATAAAATGGTTGTAAAGTCTCAAATGTCTACAATTTTCGTAAAAGATTACTTTTACCAATTCAGATTAAGGGCTTATGATGAATAAAATTCTTCGTAATTGTAACGTTTTTTATTTGCAAGCCTTTATCCATAAATCATCATTTAAAAGAATGTCTTAAGCGTTTTCAATATGTACCTATATCTATTTTTTTGTCTATTTATTATTCCTCTTTTTGTAAATTAACTTACTCAGCTTTGGATAGAATATGAATGAGTCAATAAATGATACTACTAATTTATCAAGGGTGCTATGTAAAATAAATCGAGTTGACAGAAGTCTATATTTGTATTAATTAGTGCAAGAGAAAGCAGGTATTAAAAAATGTTTACCAAAAGTGAAAAAGCTCGGTGCGTTTTACTTTATATTGAAAGCAGATCAATTACACATACACAAAGAAGATTTAGAAATATGTTTGAAAAAAATTCGTCAACCAGAAACTCTATTTTAAACTGGGTAAGTCAGTTTAAGGAAACGGGAACATTAGATAGAAAAAAAAAGACAAATTGAAAACGCTCAAGATATTATTTTAAATGATGTTATACAGATAAATTTTAGTAAGAAACAATAATAAAATATCTATTAGAAAAATTGCCCAATCCATACATATGTCAAAGAGTAAGGTGCATAAAATTTTAAAAGTAATCAAGTTTAAAGCATATAAGGTTCAGACTTTTCATAAAATTGAAAATCATGCATTTGAAAAGAGAGTTTTTATGTGTGAGACGTTATTAGATTTATTTGGACACCAACCAAATGTAAATCTAATAATGTCAGATGAAGCAACGTTTCATTTAAGTGGACGCGTAAACAAACACAATTGTAGGATTTGGGGTGACGAAAATCCTAGAGCTTTCAACGAGTTTGAAAGAGATACTCCCAAGGTAAATGTATGGTGTGGTGTGTCCAAAACCAAAATTTATGGACCACTTTTCTTTCAAGAGGAAACAGTATATGGAAACAATTACACGGATATGCTAGAACTATTCTTTTATCCTCATCTAGAACAAGAAGAAATACTAAATACTGTATATTTCCAGCAAGATGGTGCTCCACCGCATTACTGTCTTGTAGCCAGGAATTCTTTGAACTCAACCTTTGGAGATAAATGGATAAGTCGGGCTGGTCCCATCGAATGGGCTCCATATTCTCCGGATTTAACTATACCATATTTTTTATATGGGGGTATGTTAAGGAAAGATGCTACGATCCAACACCTACAAACTTAACTGAACTGAGGAATAATATAATTCATGTGTTTAATACAATTACCCCAGAAATGCTGCAAAATGCATTTACAAATTTTTTAATGCATCTGCATACATGTATTGAACAAAATGGAGGCCATATTCAACAATTAATTTATTAGTGTTTTAGTACATATTTTTTGTATTCAATAAAAATTCAGATAGGTACCAACATGGTGGGACACCACTTACGTCACAAAAATCCGTGTGGTATGAGGTGCTCCCCTCTGTCTTTATAAGTAAAATATCATTACTTGATATTATTCTGAAATTTACACCTAAGGGACAAGGCAATGAAAAACAGTATCTTATCAATGATCGTTCGATGTAAAACGTCAATTTATATTTCCATATGTGCCACCAAAATGTAATAGACACTGTTAACATTGATATAATTACCTAAAATTAAAACCTATTAAAGCAATAAAAAAATTATAAAAAATTGACTTTTTTTAAAAGGCGAAGAAATAAACTATCTAATGACTATGAGAGATACGAAATGTTTCATTCGCCATAAGACCTTAATCTGAATTTATTTTTTTTTACGAAAACTTTACAAGTTTAAGATTTGGCAACTATGTCAGAAAAAAATTTAAACATTTAAGAATTTTGGTGAAAACCTTTTATCAATACATTGCCTTACTCCCAAATTATAAGTTAATTAATTGTGATACTTTACGTTTGGAAGTTATTGAAAGTGAATGTTTCCCTAAAAAATAAAGTAAATGCTTACAATGTATACATTTTTGGAAAGGGGAAGAAATGGTCTTTCCGAGGATGTTAAAAATTATAGGGTGTTCTATTTAAAATAAGCTCACAATTTTGGTTCAAAAAAGTTCGTTTTTTTTTCGGCACTTTCCAGAAAAAAATTACATGTGGCAACAATGTCAAGAAAAACTTGAAGTAAATGTATAGTGAAAACTGCATTTCGATAACTTTTTTAATTCTCGAGTTATAAGTTGTTAAAATGTGTCAATTTATAGATGAAAGGTGGATTGCAAGGGATACACCATTGCGATGGCGGGCTAGATCTCCAGAAATTACTCCAATTGACTTTTTTTAATGAGGTTATATCAAAGAAAAAGTATATGCGAAACAATGAACAACAGCTGAAAACATGAAAAAGAGGATTAGAAACGCTTTTGAAGAAATTAACCCAGAAATATTGGATAGGGTTAAAATTTCTGTTCGTCGAAGAATCCAAGTTTGTTTAGAACAGGGTGGTAGATATTTTGAACATTTATTAAAATAATTGCTTTTTTATTTTGATTTTTGTGTTATTTATTTATTTTTTTTTTTTTAACTTATTAAATGTTTTTTAATTTAAATTGCTATTTGTAATTTTTAACGGTCTACTAATTTCAGAGAGATTAGAAAAATTAAAAAATTCTGTGAATTAATAGAATTTTAAAATAAAAAGAAATTTGTTAAAGATAAATATCAATATATTTTTATATCATTAGAAAGGTAATCGAATTCTGCAATGAAATGAAAAAAATTTGGTAGTTCCTTTTAAAATAATCAAGTTACCTTGGATTGAAATTTTGCAAATTGGCGTAACGTTTACTTTAAACACGAAAAGGGTTTTTGATCGTCTGGTAAATGTTAGTACATTTCATGCTTAGCAACACTGTAGAGTCACGGATTTCTAAGTTTTATAATAACATAACACTAAAATTGACCAAGGAATTTAAATATGCTATAATATACAGGGGGTTCCTATTAAAAAAACATAACTTTGATATAAATCACCCTGTAGAAAATTGGAATTTCATCGAAAATATTTTTAGGTTATATGCCCTAAAAATGAATTTTAAAAATGTACCTTAATAAACCCGCAATCTTCCACCCACGCACTAATGGCCCACCCTCTATACGTATATTACTTTTGCCTAATTTCCTCATAGGTATCTAGCCAGCAGTTAGAGTCTCTTTCTGAGACCAGTTTATCGATTTTCTTTTTCATGTTTAAATTGAGCAATATAATTTCGTTTATTTAACCAATCAACTGTTCGCGGACCACACGAGACGATTTGGCGGGCCACAAATGGCCCGCGAGCCACATTTTGGGAACCCCTGATGGAAAAAATTAAAAAATACTTTTTTAGAATTTTTGATAAATTCTTTATACCGGGTGTCCGCGCGAAAACTTTAAATGGAATTATTTCTGGTGTTTTAAAATATATCGACTTGAAATTTTGGAAGGTAATTAAGGAAGTAGGGGGTAAATTAATAGTGTATAAGATACCACTCCAACGTGATATCTGCCGCCCCCAGCCACCCCCGGTTCAAAAGTTTAAATGACACCCTGTATTTTTTTTACATATTCTGAAAGAGCGTAGTTTTTTTAGTATCTCTATGTGAAAAAATTACTTAATTACATAATGAACTTTGAAAGATATTTACAGCTAAAGGTTCAGATACCAGATATTAAAAAAAAGAACTAGTTACCTTGGACAGTGGACAAATTACGAAATAATTAAAGCAGATAGAAACAAAAAATCTAATTATCCAAAAAAATATAACTTATCACAAAAAATACAACTTATCACAAAAAAATACAACTTATCACAAAAATAGGTATTCAAAATTTCGCTTTATAAACTAAAGTAAGGACTCTTTTTATTTTTTTAGTTAAATCAAATGTTCAAAATGTTCACCGTTTACATTTAAACAATAGTACAGTCTATTCTCGAAAGCGTTCCGAATATTTTCAAAGACATGTGGTGTTAAATCTCTACATTCCTCTATGATTCTATTACGCAAATCATCAATGGATTGTGGTGGTGTCCTGTAAACAACAGACTGCAAATGTCCCCATAAAAAGAAATCCAGTGGGGTCAAGTCTGGGGAGCGAGCTGGCCATTCAATAGAACCCCTACGACCTATCCATTGTCCTGGAAAAACGGTATTTAAATATTGCCTTACTTCTAAACAGTAATGAGGGGGAGCTCCGTCTTGCTGAAAGTATAACTGATCCTCCTGCATTTGATCTAAGTTTTCTTCCAAGCACTGAATGATAAGAGGATGTATTAATTCTTCTAAAAACTCGTGATATCTAGGACCAGTTAAATTCTCGTGATAGAAAATTGGACCAATTATTTGGTTATTTAGAATTCCAGCCCATACATTAATTTTTTGGGGACGTTGCGTATGGCCTTCTCGGAAAACGTGGGGATTAACATCGCTCCAATATCGACAATTGTGTCTATTTACGAAACCATTTAAGGAAAAGCAACTTTCGTCACTGAAACAAATATTTCGCAAAATATTTCTATTTTGCCGAATCATGCCTGTCATAGTTTCACAAAATTGGACTCTTCTATCGAAGTCATCGTCGCCCAACTCTTGATGAAGCTGTATTTTATAAGGATGCATTTTATTTAATTTTAATATTTTATGGCACGTTGTTTTTGCCACTCCCGAAGCTTCTGATAATTTTCTAACTGAAAGCTGTGGGTCTAAATTTACGTGACCAAGAACTGCAACTTGCGTTGCTTCATCTCGTGCTCCACGATTATTCATATCACGTTTTTTATTATTTACCGATCCAGTTTCAAAAAATTTTTGTATTAGATTAATTACATAAACAGCAGATACATTTTTGTTGGGATGGTTTTCGTTAAATAATGCTGCCGTCTGCGAATAGTTCCTGTTTGCAATCCCATATAAAACTACAATTTCAGTTCTTTCTTCCAAACTGTAAACCATTTTTCTATTTTTTTAGCTATTTAATTTAAATTAAGTCAAATTTTTTCGAAAACTTTTGTAATAACGAGTAAACAGAAGTGTCACAAACAATATTATTTGACAGTTCAAGCAACGAAGCAGCTTTCATGGCTTGCTATTATTTTTTGCTTTCGATATTTGAATATCTGGTATCTGAACCTTTAGCTGTAAATATCTTTCAAAGTTCATTATGTAATTAAGTAATTTTTTCACATAGAGATACTAAAAAAACTACGCTCTTTCAGAATATGTAAAAAAAATACAGGGTGTCATTTAAACTTTTGAACCGGAGGTGGCTGGGGGCGGCAGATGTCACGTTGGAGTGGTATCTTATACACTATTAATTTACCCCCTACTTCCTTAATGACCTTCCAAAATTTCAAGTCGATATATTTTTTTTTTTTTTTTTTATTTGAAGAAAATTCGCATCAACCACAAAGGTTATTAGCGAATTGTAAGATTACAAATTGGTGTAGTACATACAAAAGAAAGATGACAATATATGAGAATAACTAAATAGAATTTAGTATGTTGATGGATTTCAAAAATCTTTTTAAACTGTTTATATCGCACGCAGAACCTAGAATGTTAGATATTGGACCAGCTGGGAGGTTTGATTCAATACGTTGAGGTGCAAGAAAAGGACAGTCTACGAGTATATGTTTTACCGTCAACTTGATGTCGCAGTGGCTACATTTTGGTTCTATTTTTGAGCTAAATAAATAACTGTGTGTTAGTCGTGTATGACCCAAACGTAGCCTGGTTAGTAAAATTTGATCACTACGGTTTCGCGGGAGTGATGACCATGGTTTCACATTATTTTTAATTTCACTGAGTTTAGAAGAACAAGACGACCACTTAGATTCCCACGCACTGAACACTTTTGCTTTAATGAACGATTTTACGTCACTACTCAATAATAATTGAACCGGTATGGCACTTTCACTATTCACAGCTTCTTTGGCCAGTTTGTCTGCTTGCTCGTTCCCGCTTATTCCTATGTGAGATGGTATCCAGATAAATACGATGTCTTTTCCCCTTAGCTGAGCAGAGTAGAGTTCCTCTTTTATTTTGCTGATCAAGGGGTTGTTGGAAAAGATGCGTTGTAAGGCGAATATAGAGCTAAGAGAGTCTGAGAGAACCACAAAGTTTTGATAAGTTGAGGAATTAGCAAATATTAATGCTTGGTAAAGAGCGAACAGCTCTGCTGAAAAAATAGAAGATTCTGAAGGAAGCTTGTACATACTACTAGATGTGGGTGTACTGACAGCAGCTCCTGTTCTTCCATCTAGCTTTGAGGCGTCGATATATTTTAAAACACCAGAAATAATTCCATTTAAAGTTTTCGCGCGGACACCCGGTATTTTCAAATAGTACTGTTAATTCTGTGGTCGGCGCTTAAAAAGTAATAAGTCGATATTACAAATTTTTGGAGAATGACGCTGAAAAATTTTGTACGACGGCGTATTCGTGCCACAAAAATTATTTTATTTTAAAAAAGTCAGAATTTTGAGAAAAAATGTCAAAATTTTGAGAAAAAAGTCAAAATTTTGAGAAAATAAAGTCAAAATTTTGAAAAAGCAAAAATCAAAATTTTGAGATAAAAAGTCTAATTTTTGAAAAAAAAAAGTCAAAATTTTAAGAAAAAATAGTCAAAGAACAGAAAATTAGGTATCTGCTTTTATGTTCTGTCATCTTTGCAAGAGTGTTTAAAAAGGGCGCTGCAACCTGTCATACTTAAATACACAATATCTTTGGTTAAAAATAACTAACGACGTCTGTAAAAGGTCTTTACAAAAACATACCACATATTCCTTAGACCAAAATGAGTCGATTTAAGTAAAATTACCTTAGTACAAAGTTGCTTCGTTTGGACTCCAGAGGGCCTTGAAGTTACAATTTTTAAATCGTTTTTTCCATATAAATTTAAAACGGCATATGCGATTTTGCTGAAATTTGATATATTGGTAGAGTTTTATGTGGCAAAAAATGGTATTAAAGTTTTGTCCGATAATAATACATAGGCGTAGAACTTGATTTTTTAAATAATTGCACCTTTAAAACTTCTACGCCAATGGAAGAAAAGGAGTTTGAGTATGAAATTTAGATTGCGCAACTCATTTACTTTAAAAAAGGTACTCTTGATAAGACTCGATTACTCTCATGGTTTTCGCTAAATTTTTGTTTTAATAATTTAGAGTTTAGAGTGTATAGGTTTCACAAAAATATTTATTTACAACATAATCAAAATAGGGATTTTACAAAAATTGTTCAAAATGTTCACCATTTTCACGCATACAAAGATTTATACGTCGAAGAAAATTAAAATGTATCCTTTCCATATAACTTCTTCATCACCTCTAAGATACAAATTTCACTCAACAAAATCCTCAAGAAACAGAATTTTGTTTAGTGAAATATAGACGCATAATTTCCAAAAAACAATAAAATGTTCTCAAAAAATTCTCACCATTTGTGGTATTAGCCGTGAAAGTATTGTATAAACATATTTATTTGATTCATTCATTTATTTTTGCAGACACTCCATACACATTTAAACAAGGCGAAAAAGAGTTTTTGTTAAATCCGCAAAAAGTAAGTATAAATGTATTTTTTTTTATCTCTATAAAAATAAGGAAAACTAGTATATTATTAACCCTTTCCGCACGGCACCTTAAAGTAGGTTGCGTGCTGCACAGACGGCAGTTTTTACAGTGACGGACAGACGGCTGACGAATATATTCGTCACAATACAAAATATCACTTTTTACTTTGGAAATTCACAATTATTGTTTTATAACGCAAAATCTAAAAGAAACGACACCTTTTGATAAATTTTTATTCAAATAAAAAATAATGTAATAATTTTAAGTACATCAGAAAATCAGAAAAGGAAAAATCAGAAAATGGCCTGTTCGTGGTAAACTGCAAAACATGGTGTTCTGCATAACCCGACACCGCAATGTTTACACATATATTTGCTATCTTTTCTTTTCTTTTGCCCCTTTTTTGTATGAGAGCAAACAATGCATCTTCTTAACTGGAGCTTCCCATTGGCTCTACGGGGTACTTCATCTGGAAAGTGTCTCTCAGTTAATCTGGCCTGACCAATATAATTTGGCGTTGATTTAGAGGTATACTGTGACGGATATCTAAAAATAAAAAATATACATATTCAAAATTATAACAAGGCAAAACAAAATACCTTTGAAGGAGCTGGCGGACAACTTCCATATGAAATTTAGGAAATAAAACATTACTGGAGTTTTGAGTCTTGTACAAAGCCTGAGCATTCAGCATACATATATCAAGTGTATGGAAAAATAACTTTTTGTACCATTTTATAGTTTTTCGAGTACAATCCACACTGCTGATCATCATATCTGATCTGTCAATGGCTCCCATTCGTTCGTTGTAAGAAAGCACACATAACGGCTTTTTCTTATTTTTCTTGGTAACTCTATCTATTTTAGGAAGAGTAATTAATTTATTCTCATGAAAAGTAGTAAGCATTGTGACATCTCGACGATCCTTCCATTTCAAGGCTAAACTATGTTCACTACTTTTCCAATCAGTTTCTCCAATTTTCAGTTTTTTGTCAAGGGGGGGCATATGTTTTCTGTTTAGACGTACTGTCCCACATGAATTAGTTTTGTGTTCAAAAAGGTACGTAGATAAAATAGGGCTACTGTAAAAATTATCACTATAAAATGAGTGACCCTTGTTGAGGAAAGGCTTCAAAAGTTTGACAACCACTGCACCCGATATACCTAGACCAATATCTTTATTTGTATTTTCTTGGTCATCTTTTCCAGCATAAATCAAATAATTTAAAACATAGCCAGTTTCACAGTCGCATAATACATACAGTTTAATACCAAAGCGGTGCCTTTTAGTTTTTATGTATTGCTTAAAAACTAATCGGCCTTTGAACAAAACCATGCTTTCATCGATGACAAGGTTCTCAAATGGATAAAATTGACGCTGAAAGTTGTTTTTTATCATGTTCAATATCCCTTCTATTTTGTACAAACGACTCTTTGACACTTCGTCGTTACTACAAAAATGTAAATATCTCAATATTTGAAGGTACCAGTCACGAGGCATTAATTTGCTAAAAGAAGGTGTTGATATCAAATCATCGGTGGACCAATAATCCTTTATGTCGGATTTTTTTACATGAGGCATCAGCATTGTTATGGCTAAAAATACGAATAACTCTGGAATGTCAATATTTTTCCAATTGTTTACATTATTTTGGCAAGAAAACAGATTCGTTTGTTCAACTACAACATTGGCTATTTCTTCTGAAAATAAACTTAGGAAATATTCCACCTCCCGGGATTCATTTATCAGGTTTTCATTCTGTATTCCACTATTTTGGATATCAAATTGGTGTACTGTAGGTATAAAATCATTTAGATCCCATTTTATGCCAAATTCATGAATATTGTGATCACTGTTAGATTCATCTAAATTTTTATTGGAGATCTGGTCCTCTATTTCATTATTACAGTTTTCTAAAAGTTCCTCTTCTAGGAAGCTCAACAACCCCTCACTATCACTTTCAGCTTCGGGATCATATTCACTTTCACTGTCTATGAACGGTTCCTCATCACTACTTCTGTACAAGTCTTGTTCACCCACAAGGTTTAGAATATGCCTCACTTCATTATTAGATAACCCGCAATAAGTATTTTATTTGTCTATTTTACGTCGTTTAGGCCTTTCAGAACTTCTCGACGTACTTGCACGCTCTCCCGACGACATTTTAAAGCAAATTGACCAGCACACCACACACCGCAAACGATTTACAAATGCAAACTACTGCCAAAATAGTCTGAGCTTGTTAGTAGATCACCTGACTTGCCACGTTGCTGGCTGCCGATAATGTCCGTCAGTGCCGAATATTTTCGGCAGCCGTTCACCTGGCAATGTAAAGTGACCGAAACGGTACGGCACTCGTCCATGTGCCAAATCGAATTTTTATTTCTAACTTAACTGAACCGTCAACCGCCCGAGAAGCAAATAAACATCTGACGAATATATTCGGCAGCCGTCCGTCTGCCAAAAACCTCAGTGACGAATATATTAGTCAGCCGTCCGGAAAGGGTTAAACGAGCAATTTATGGTAGCCAATATTCACACAGGGTGACGTTTGCGTCCAGAGCCGTAGGCGAGGGGCGCAAGTCACCCGAGTGAATAATGGCCATAAATTGCGAGTCTAATACTATACTTTGTCCACGACCATTATGGTTTCTTTAATAAATAAAAGTTAAGTGTAGAATGGAAAGTATTTAATAAACATAGGTAACTAACTGTTGTTTTTTCCACTTTTAAATTTTTCGATTTTTCGATTTTCGTTTTTTAGATTTTTTTAGATTTTTTTCGATTTTTCGATTTTTTGATTTTTCGATTTTTCGATTTTTTGATTTTTCGATCTAGAAAATATCGTTATGAAAAGTATTGCCTATCTTTAGTTATCAACCGGAATGTGCCAGAATTACAAAAGCGTGAATTATCATAATTCACTCCGTGATATATGGGTACTATATGCTTTTAGTTAGGAGGTAGAATATTGATTTATTACTAAGTGGTCGTGGACAAAAGTTATATTAGAGAAAAAGTAAAATAAACAAGCTTTGCAGTTCTAACAATAAATGAATGTGTATCATTAAAAAACAGTTACCATTAGGCCTGGCACATGTTATATTCAATAGACTTTTTATTCTATTAGTGTAACTTTGTTTTTTTTTATTTTACTTTGTAAGTATATATTCTATTAGATATAGGTACACCTAAAGTAACATTTATTGCGTGTAGCTGGAGGCATTGGAGGTATTTGTAGATTTGAGAGGAAACCTAAACGTTGCCTGGCTGGAATTAGCAACTCATTAATAATAGTTATAATATACTTTTTATATGTTTATTTATAAACTTTTGATAAAGCTCACTTATAATAACATCTTACTATGTGCTCAATATGCAACCTAACCTATGTTGTTGTCGTGTTAGCAACCAGTAATACATTTGGTAATGTTGGTTGCCTACACTAAGTAACAGCTTATACTACAGCAACTTAATTTCCGTTTAGGAATCTCGACAGCTAATGTCGTTTATGGCCTTACGGTAATTATACACGTCCGGCAAACGTGAAGATCTGGGATCGACTCTCGACAATGGCAGGTTTTGTTTCAAATCTACAAATATTTGTTTTCACATTTGGTGTCTGGGGATGGTTTTAATAATTCGTAAGGGGATGTTTGAGATTTGTTTCCGAATTTTCAAATTTATTTAATAAATAATACTAATGAATAATAAATTGAAAAGTTCAAAATAAAAGACAAACAAATCTGATGTGTCCAACACATGACTTTCCTATCTAGTTATTATAGGCTTTTTCCGGTTATTTTGTACAACCTATTGCAACATCTCTATAAATGTTTGGAGGATAAACTAAATAATATACATTGTCCACATACATCTACCTCGAAACATTTTTCTATAGATATTCATTGAAAACGAAAAAACTGAAAAATTTAAATTTAGCACTTTTCCATTACGGTCCATTTTAGAAAAATCATGTATAAACAAAAATTATAGAGATCGATATCGCAAACAACTTTTAGTTCAACAATTTTCATAAAAATCAGAATTTTGCACATTTTATCAAATTTCTCGAATACGGACCATTTCAGGAAATTTTGACATAAAGCAAAAATTATAGATAATAATATTAGAAGTAACTTTTATTTAAATAATTTTCTTCTCCAAATATAAATAACAGATATATTCCATAAAATATAAAAATGGCCTCCCATAAAGTACCCCCTCAGATATTCCGACTTTGTCTTATCATTTCACGTCAGGCCGAAATAAACCTTAAGTTTAAAATTTAATGTTTTTTTCTTTATCCGTTTTTGAGTTTTCTTCAAAATTCGAAATTTACACATTTTCTCAAATATTTCGAATACGGTCCATTTTAGAAAAATTATGTATAGGACAAAAATTATAGAGAATTATATTACAAACAACTTTTGTAGGAAAAGTGCTATATTAAAATTTTTCAGTATTTTTGTTTTCAATGAATATCTATGGAAAAATGTTTCGAGGTAGACGTATGTGGAAAATGTATATATTTAGTTTATCCTCTAAACATTTATAGAGGTGTTGCAATAGGTTGTATAAAATAACCAGAAAAAGCTTATAATAACTAGATAGGAAAGTCGTGTGTTGAACACAGATTTTTCTTCGGATATTATTTATTTATTTATTTATTTATTTATTTATTTATTTATTTATTTATTTATTTATTTATTTATTTATTTATTTATTTATTTATTTATTTATTTATTTATTTATTTATTTATTTATTTATTTATTTATTTATTTATTTATTTATTTATTTATTTATTTATTTATTTATTTATTTATTTATTTATTTATTTATTTATTTATTTATTTATTTATTTATTTATTTATTTATTTATTTATTTATTTATTTATTTATTTATTTATTTATTTATTTATTTATTTATTTATTTATTTATTTATTTATTTATTTATTTATTTATTTATTTTTATTTATTTATTTATTTATTTATTTATTTATTTATTTATTTATTTATTTATTTATTTATTTATTTATTTATTTATTTATTTATTTATTTATTTATTTATTTATTTATTTATTTATTTATTTATTTATTTATTTATTTATTTATTTATATTTATTTATTTATTTGTTGTCTTAAGTACACTACAGAAATATGAATTCCAAATGGTACAGTATTAAAGCTAAAACAATAATTAAAGTATAAGTATATACATATAAAAAAAAACCGAATACATAAATATCAAAACTCTTCAGAAATTTTAAAATACATTTAGGGGTCTATTCTGTAACTATAGTTGTTAAGTGGCAACTTTCTAACCACTTGCTATCTTACCACTTTCATAGCAACTGTATATAACAACTTTGACAAAAGTAGCTATTCTAGTATTCACGATTTCTAAATTAGTCTATGCTGTATCATACAGTTATGATACTGACCAAGTTGCAATGATCAAGGTTAGTTGTTTTATTACCAAATTCCACGTTTTAAACTTAAATGACATGCTTTTTAAATCCAAATTTATAAATAATGAATTTTGGAAGAGGAAAGACTCTTGTTTTTTAGATATATCCAGAAAAAAGAACCTATTTTATAAAAATATGAACGAAATACTTTTTTTAAGGACCTGTTTTTAATCTGTTGTCATCGTTGCCACGCTTTTCTCTTTTGTAAATCTGGCAACCCTGGTAATGTTTTAGTTAAACTTGCTTACACACTTTAGTTAAAAAGTTCAGTGATGCTTTAAAACAAGGAACAACCACAAAAAGTATATTGTGCAACAATGGATAGAACAATGGACAGAACACATATCGCACAATTTTCTCAAATTTCAAATTTATCGTCGTCCAAAAAATATAATTCTAACTCATATATGTCATTGAAATAAGAAAGTTTTGCTTTTACCTTACGTTATTTTTGTATTTGTAGATGACCTTCAGCGAAGCAAATGACTACTGCAAGAGCGTCAATCTTGAATTGGCAGCTATAGAATCCGCTGCTGAAGATGATAAAATATTCTACGCTTTGAGTTATTTAGGACGTAAGTAGCTATTTAGTTATGTAAAAATATTGTTACACTAGTTCTTGGTGAACTCAATCTATTCTCAATTTTTCTACGTCTACGTCCGTATGACTTTGTATATCCCATCTCAGTTGCACCTTTGACTCTAAACATATATCTATTTCTATGCCACTACCGGCCTTAATTTTTTGTACATAAACTATTATAGTTCTGATAATGTTTTATACATTTTTTTTTTAATTTACTTTTGAAATCTTCACTTGTCTTTTGATTTACGGAATATTCTGATATATTTTCAAAAGTTGTATTTCCAAACAAATATAAAGCACAATGAATTGACGTTGTTTTTGACCACTACACTGAAAATTCGATTAAAGATGTAACTCGTCAAAAAAGAGGATCTTCCAAATCAATTAATTAAATTATTACTAACTGAGACTTTCTATTTACGGATTCTAAGATACAATTTGTAACGAGTGGCGAATTTAATAACAGTACATACTTTAAATCCAATATTGACATTTGTGAAGAAAAGAGATAAACTATTAGAATCAAACCATGAAGAAGATGACACTAGAATTCTACTTAATGCATTCGGTGCGAAAACAAGTTTTCCTACATGTGTTATTGACTCTAACAATGCCAAAAAATTGTAATAAAATTATATTTGCCAACATCCGATGTTCTTTCTTTTAAGAGGTTTAATAGACCAATAACTTTGACGTCATTTCTATTAGAAAAATTATTGATTGATCAGCATGGCCGGCAAACCACCCTGATAAAGACATGAGTATCAATCAGGAAAATCTTATGAGTCTGCTTTGCATCATCTCGTAACCAAGATATACTCAGTAGCAAAGAAATAGTCCTAGGAGCATTTCTTGACATAGAAGAAGTTTTTAATAATACCTCTCAGGAGTTCAGAGGCTGAGCACTGAGAAGTACACCGATCGCCTCTATAGAAATAATTCTAAACCTCCCACCCCTTGACCTAGTCATAAAGGGGGACACTAGAATGAGTGCATACAGACTGGAAATCTCCCACAACTGGAACATATAAAACCTACCAGAATAACGCATGAAGTAAATGATTCTATAATAAACATGGGATCAGATCACATGACACTCCTCTTAACTATCAACAGACTTTACCAGGTTAACTGCAACTGGAACCAGGTAAATGAGGAGATAGATAAATACTTGCTAAGCGGTTTCGTATGGTATACGGATGGATCTAAAACTAACAAGGAAACAGGCTCTGGTGTACATGGAGTTAAACCCAAATACGACATCATCGTTTCACTGGGAAAACATACAACTGTATTTCAAGCTCAGATACATGCAATCGAATTATATGTACGAAATAATTTAAGAAGGAAGTACAGAAACAAACCATCCTAATTCTCTCGGATAGCCAAGCAGCCTTAAAGGCTCTTGATTCAAACAAAATCAAGTCAAAGCTTTTCTGGAACTGCTTTGGAATACTAAATGATCTGGCAACTCATAACAAGGTAAAACTAGCGTTGGTACCAGGGTACAAAGGTATCCAAGGAAATGAAAAGACTGATGAACTCGTCAAAGAGGGATCTCGTGGCTTATTCTCTAACCAACGTTTTTAAAAGCACTGATTACATCTGTCAAAATACGCGATAAACAATTAACAAAAGTGTAAATTGCAAATGTTTTGATATTCTCTAATTTCTTTGCATAAATAATAATAAAGGCACCCACACCTAAAATTTCCTGATCTGACAGATTGCGATTCGGCTATACTGGTGTAGTTTACAACACTTCTTAAACAAGTAACATGTTTAGAAATCAACCAGTACGGCAGCAATTTGGACATCTGACAGAAAATGTTCAATGATTGACTTCTATAGAAAATGAGATTTACATTTTGATAGAACTTAAATTGTAATTTAATGATATTTCCGAGAAACCATTATAAGTAAACTATGATGTTACAGAAATGTAATGTACACCAGTGGCTCTATTCTCGAATGAACCAACCTTCGTAACATCTGTGCGAAGGGAGGTAATTAATATAACCCTAAGTACACAACGGGCATGTTCATTGGTGGGGAAGTGGCACGTCTCACCAGAAGCGTCACTTTCCGACCATGGACATATCCTGTTTGAGATGGGTACTAAAACCTCGGGTAAGAAGACATATCGTAATCCTAGGACCTGTAACTGGAGAGCTTTCAAGGAAGAACTCAAACAGGGACTGGAGAACTGTCCTCCGATACCGATGAATTCAGTGGAAGTTGAGTTTATGTTAGAGTTTCTAACACGAACCCTAACCAACACATTTGAAAAAAACTGTCCTTTAAAAATTAGGAAAGGGGATCGAGACGCTGTTTGGTGGAATCGAGACCTTTCCAAAAAAAGAGCAGAAGTTCGTAAACTCTTCAACCTGTCTAAAAGGTCGGGGAACTGGGAAGCCTATAAGGCGTACCGGAGAGAATATGGCTATGCCATTAGGAAAGCCAAAGAAAATTCCTGGATGAAATTCTGTGACGGCATAGAAAGCCTTCCAAAATGTGCCAGACTCAGGAAAACTCTACAGAGAGATAAGCAAGGATGCATGGGATCTCTGAAAAATCAACAAGGAGAACCTACAAAAACAGAGGAGGAGACCTTAGATTTACTACTAAAGTCACACTTTCCTGGATGTAAGATTATTCTTGATCAAGAGAACAGGAGTACTGAGGCACTATATTCTAGGGCCTCAAAAACAAACTGGTCTCTTGCAAACTCAATAGTAAACAAAACAAAACTTGTGTGGGCGATAAATTCCTTTCAACCATACAAAACAGCTGGACCTGATGGTATAATCCCGGCACTTCTACAAAAGGGCCAGGAAGTACTGGAGGGACCACTGTGTAAACTATTCCGAGCCAGCATAGCCCTCGGAAATGTTCCACAAAGCTGGAGGTGTGCAAGAGTGGTCTTCATTCCCAAACCCGGGAAAGCGTCATACGAGGAGACCAAATCTTTCAGACCAATCAGCCTAACGTCATTTCTCCTAAAAACATATAAGAAATTGATCAATAGATATATACGAGATGATGTTCTACGGGACAAACCGATACATCGATACCAGTTTGCCTACCAATCTAGAAAGTCTTGCGATGCAGCCATACATAGGCTAACTCAACGGGGTGAGCATTCGAAAGCAAAGAAATAGCACTAAGAGTCTTCCTAGATATAGAAGGAGCCTTTGACTCGGCTTCATACAATTCAATACTGGGATCTATGCAAAGGCGTGGAGTAGCCCACTGCATTACGAGGTTGGTAGAGTTCATGCTTAATCATAGAACCATTACCAGTAATCTCCTTAACACAACAAGAGAGGTCTCAGTTAACAAGGGATGTCCGCAGGGAGGAGTGCTATCTCCTCTTATGTGGACCTTGGTGGTTGATGACCTCTTATGGGAGTTAGAGAGAGAAAACTTATACACGCAAGCATTTGCAGACGACATAAGCATCGTAGTAAATTTGGGACTGTTGTATCCGAAAGGATGCAGCGGGCACTAAATATCGTCGAAAGATGGTGCCTAAAAGAGGGACTGTCCACAAACCCGACAAAAACCTCTGTTGTTGCATTCACAAGAAAAAGGAACCTTCAAGGAATAAAGGAGCTTTATATGTGGGGACAACATCTAAAAATGGCAAAGGAGGTTAAATATCTTGGAATCACTTCGCTTAGCTTCTGCAGCCATATAGAAAAAACAACAGAAAAAGCTGTAAGAATACTATGGGCCTGTAGACGGATAGTAGGGAACGCATGGGGCTTAAACCAAGTATGATGTACTGGCTTTACACTATGGTTGTAGTACCGATTATAACTTACTCATCAGTAGAGAGCGGAATATATGCAAAATGCATATATATGCATTTTTCGCATATTTTACCAAATTTCAGAAAATATTGCATATTTTTCCAAAATTCAGAAAATATTGCATATTTTCGAAAAAAAAAATGTATTACTATACTGTGCAAATCAAAAACTGTTTTAACAGATTATACAGATATATTTGATGAAAGCACAGATGCTTGTGGAAGATATATGGTACATCTTATGATTGGAGCCTTAAAAGAAAATGAACCAGGTACATCATATTTAATTACATCAAAACAGTTAGAAAAAACTAACAATACAACTGTTACCCGATTTATTCAACAATCTCTAGCAGAATTTTTTTTTACCAAATCAAATTCCCTCAGAGAAGTTCTTAGTGTTTTTGTCTGACGCAGCACCATATATGATAAAAGTAAGGCAAAACTTAAAAATATTTTATCCAAATATGGTCCACGTTACTTGTCTTCTGCATGGAATAAACTTAGTTGCAGAAACTGTGAGAACAGAATATCCCTAGGTTAACAAGCTAATTTCGAATGTGAAAAAAATATTTTTAAAAGCCCCTTTAAGAGTGCAGTTGTATAAAGAGAGAATGGTAGGGGTATGTTTCCCCCCGGAACCCGTAATTACGCGATGGGGGACATGGATTAAAGCAGCTATATTCTATTCAGAAAATTTTAAAGCAATTAAGGATTTAATTTTGGATATAGAAGACAATTCACAATAGGTGAGTTCGGGCTACGCACTCCAGAGTGGAGTGGAGTAAGTAGGCGTAAACGGAGTGCGCATATGGTTTTACTCCTTGTACTCGTGTTGTACTCTCAGAGTTCAATGTCAGTTGTCAATATGATATACTAATACTTAAAACTTAACCGTACTTATCAGTAACAACCGTATAAGTTTCTTCCATATTAATGGTATGCACTGGAATCAAATAAAAAGCATTTAAATCACCTTATGCGCATGCCCGATCCACACTTCACTCCACGATCTCCGAACGGTCAAAGAGGAACTTTTATTTTAACTCTTTCCGTACCCGAACGCCTTAGGTACTTTAGGAGTGAATATAGTGAAAAGAGTGCGTAGCCCGAACTCACCTATTGTGTAGTGCAAAGTAAAGAATTGTTAGAAAATCCCCTTGTGCCTAAGCAACTTGTGTTTATAAAGGTTAATTTTAGTTTTTTACCTGATGTAATAACTTCATTTGAAAAGAAAAATTTAAGTTTAATCGAATCAACAAATTTTATTGCAACAGTTTCCGATAAATGTAACAATGTTCCTGGTGACATAGGCCTTAAGATTAAAAAAAAATTAAATACAACTTTATTAAAGAATGAAGGGTTCAATGAAATAAGGGAAATGAAAAACATTTTTGAGGGAAAATTTTCCAAAGAAGTTTTACGTTGGCCCTGTACATTACTTCCAAAATTACGGTATTGTCCTATTACTTCGGTAGATGTTGAAAGGCCCTTTTCTATATCAAAACATATTTTTACAGACAGAAGACAAAAATTTTTAATAGAAAATTTCGAAAAATATTTAATTATAAATTCCTATTATAATATTGCTATTTAATATTTTCATACTATTCTATACTTAACTTCTACTAGTTTTTGTGTTTCGTTTGTTTTAAATAAATTTTTATATTACATATTTTCTTTTGTTTTTTTTTTCGTGTAATGGCTTTGATAGCGTACCAAATTAGGAACAGCAATGTTAATTAGAACCCAACAGTGAATGGTCAAGTGGAAATATTTGCTAGGCATCAGAATTAATTTTTAAATAAATTAATTAATTTAAAAAATCGCGTCCCGGCTGGAATTTGAACCCGGAACCCCTAAGTCTACAGGCCAACGCACTAACCACTGAGCTACCCACCCCCTACTTTTTTTTAAGTATTTTTAACAAATATGCATTTGCATATTTAGGCATAATTGGACAAAATAACTGCATATTTTTGGTAAAAACGATGCATATATATATGCGCATATTTTGTTATATTTTGATTCATATATTCCGCCCTCTACTCATCAGTCATATGGTGGCACAAGACTAAAAGCATAACAGCTAACAGAAAATTAGACAAGGTACAAAGACTAGCCTGCCTAATAATAACAGGGGCATTTAGAACTACGCCCACAGCAGCAATGGAGCTACTGCTAGGTCTTCCTCCACTACACTTTGTGGTGGAGAAGGAGGCTATGGCGGCGGCATACAGGCTGTTTACTAATGGATTTGGATGGGAACTTTCGAGAAAAGGACACCACACAATGATATTAGAGAAATTAAAACAAAATCCGGTACTAAGAATGCCATCGGATAGAACGCCCATTATTCACGACTTCAGGAAACCTTTTGATATTCAAATACCAGAAAGGGCCAAAAGCCGGGAAAAAAAGGGAAAAAAAAAACGAATCAATCTGGTATACAGACGGTTCGAAAATGAAAAACAGCACAGGAGCTGGGATTTACCATGTGAACTCAGGGAGGACAATTAGTTTGAACCTGGGGTCACTGACAACATTCTTCCAGGCTGAAGTAACAGCAATAAATCCTGCGCCAAAGTCATGCTAAATGACTCTCTTAGAGATAAGAGAATCGTTATCATGACAGACAGTCAGGCAGCCCTTAAAGCACTAAAAAGGGTAGAAGTACAATCTAAATCAATATTTGATTGCCAACAATCCCTCCAGGCTCTGGAGAAGGCAGACCTCCTAGCAAGGAAGGGAGCGGAAAAACTCTTATTGGACCAGAACCCACATGTGGTATCTCATACCAACATGTTAAATGGGTGTTAAAGGAACAAATAAAAAGAGAACACCATAGGCTCTGGATGGAACTTCCTGGACTTAGACAGTCCAAAAGATTCATAGAGGGGCCATCCACGAGCAGACAACATCAACTGCTAAACCTTAGCAGAAGCGAACTCAAGGCCGTAATAGGACTCCTTACGGGACACTGCGGCCTTAGAAGACACCTAAATCTCTTAGGGATATCTGATGACTCCCTATGTAGAATATGTGAAGAGGAGGACGAAACTCCTATTCACATACTATGCCACTGCCGGAACCTTAAATGGGAACGGGAATGGTACTTCGGGGTACAATATCCGGAACCTGAAGAAATCGCGAAAGCGCCCATCAGACATTCTTGAATTCATCAAGAAAATCAATCTAATGGGATAGAAACTGTGAGGGGTACAATAAGCCTAGAGCTTCAGTACAAGTGGGCTTTGAACCACGCCCTAATTCAGATGATGATGATGATAACACATTTAAAAATAGTAAAGCATAGTATCGCTTTCTTAACAAAATAATAGATAAAATTATATAAAATATTTTATCATGTGTTATTCAATGTTGAGGTTATGTTTCAGATTTGACATTTTAATAAAGAAATTCTTGTACTAAATATATATTTTCAATAAAATATCGGTACGAAACTTACCTTTATAAAATCAGACGGTCATTAAAAATATTTAAGATAATTAGTACATCGGATGTCCAAGAAAAAAGATAATTAAAATTCAATAATTCAATTTGCTCGATGACAGAGGTAAATCGAAATGACAACCCGAGTTTTGACACAAGGCATAAACGACAAATGACGTTTGTGTAGAGATGGTGGTTTCAAAATAACGAAAACGGTTACAACCGTTACAACGTCTGGGACTAAATAACGAAAACGGTTACAACCGTTACAAACCTTAAATTATTAATTAATATTAAAGTGATAAGGAAATAGGAAAAATTCGCTTAAAATTCTTAATAATATGAATAAAGAAACTAACTAGGTTTTATTAAACCAACCTCTAAATTGGTTAATTTTTAAAATAAGATTGGTCAGCGTTAGATATACAGCAAGCAAATGAAGGCAGGTACATATTTTTTTGATTATTGTATTGTCCATACTTGTCTTTAGTTTTTATGCTTATCAAAAAGTTTTCATTAAATAAAGACAGTTTGACAGTTAAGATTACAAAATCAGTCGTTCTTAAATAATTTTCATCAGATAAAAATCAGAATTGCAGCAGTTCGCTATTTATTGGTCACGTGATCCATCATCAGTACATCATTTTGTTGAATATTAAAAAACGCTCATTGTTATAATATGAGTATTTTCACAATGACAGTTTATGTTAATTTTTAAGAGAAATGAAAATAAGTTGTATTAATTGTTTTTAAAAATATATTTAATAGTAGACATTATGACGAATGCGACATTTTTAATAAATATTCCAGAATAGGGCCCCTGGTCTGAAAAAGTTATTAGGTTCTTTTGCTAAGTAAAATTGGTAAATCACAAATAAAAATTTTAATGATTAAATAGTAATATTGTCGATTTATAGTTTTTCCAGCTCCCAAGGCATTTTGGACAGCAGGAACCAAACTAGCAAGTACAAACAAGTGGGTATGGTTAACCACCAATAAAGTTATTGGGTATTTCAATTGGGGTGATGGTGAACCAAGCAACAAGGATGGTAACGAGTTTTGTATAGCAACGCATCCTGATAATTATTACAGCACTGGTTATTGGACTGCTACTGATTGCAATTCATTAGCCTTCCCAATTTGTCAAACAGTTTCTCAAAATTAAATATTTTTCACGTACCTGTTAAAATAAATGGAAATAAATAATTAAACCAAAATTATCAGTTTTTTATTTTCGTTTTGGAAATTGTATTTACATAACCCACGTCAGCGTTTGTCAAACTGTAGGACAAAACAATCAAAATCATGTTTGGTCGGAAAAAGTTTGAGGACCACTAAACTAAAAATAATTTTAATCAGGTGACAAAGGGACACTTTTTTAAATGACATTATTTCAAACTGTAACCTACCAAATGAACTCGGTGATTCCACCAAAATTTTAAACTTAAAAAAAATTATTAAAGTATTAACTACAATTAAAAATGTTGTCTACTACGGTTACACAAGTTTCGGCTGTTCCGGTGTCAACCTTCGGGCCGTCAACGTCGCTCAGACGGCAGCTAGGGGGTGGATAGCTTAGAAGAATTCCGGAAATAGTAGACAAATGAGAAGGCGCCAACTGGGTCTATATAGTGGCCAAACTATGATCCTATTTCCCCAAAAACCCAGTAAATGAGAAAATAAATAAAAGACAAACCTCAACTTATGTTCCTTTATAAAAAAAAAGGAAAAAAAAATTTACTAAATATATCAACTTTAAATTTCAACAATTTATTATGAGTTCGACAAACTACTAAAACTAATTACCTAATGGCTTTAGATAATCAAAAAAAAAATAAGTTGGAGGAAATTAAAGGGAAAGTTTACACCATATATGTATATGCATAACCCAAAATAAATTATTAAATGTATCAAAATATGGCACGGTTCGTCGTTAGCTTGGTACCAGGCATGACGCTTGCGCAAAATATTAATTTCCACCTTACATAAAATAAAAAATAATAGTTAACTTAAATCTTGTGCATAACCGCACCTATACTACATCATATATTGTAAACTAAACAGTAAACTTATAATCCTTATAAGCTTATAACCCTCTCCAAATTGGAAGGCGATATCTGCTTTTAGTTAAGACCAAACTACCCAAAAGAAAATTATTAAACCATGAAATTTTATAATTAAGTATAATTCATAGAACTAAATAAAAATATCAAAAAAAATAAAAATACAATGAACATATAAAGGACTTTAGACACAGATTATTTACTTAAACTCCTAGGTTGGAAGAGGTTACTTAATCTCTGCCCCCACACAGGTCTTCTGAGATTGCTTAACTTATACGTTAAGTCTTATCATAAAAAAAATAAAATGTAAAATGAAGAATAAGGTTAAATTTGACTGTAGTTCTTAATAACTGAAGCTTTACAACTTAAGCGTAGAAGTAGTCCAGATGTTCTGCAACTAGAAGAATCACTACTCCAGCATTATGTGCTTATTTAAAAAAAAAAATAATAATAATAATAAATGAAAGATACACAAAGGACTTCAGACACCGTTGATATACTTTAAAGCTCCCATAAATAGGAAGAGGTTGTTAAATCTCTGCCCCCACACGGGTCTTCTGAGATCGCTGAACTTGATCGTTAAGTCTGGTCCATTTAATAATGAATAATTTGAAAAAGTAAAATTATGACAGTAGCCCTTAATAACTGACGAATTACAACTTAAACGTGGAAGCAGTCCAAGTGTTCTGCGACCCGAAGGATTACTACATCAGCATTAAGTGCTTAAATTAAGAAAAAGTTTGAAATATTAATCAATTAAACGATGTAATATTTGATAATACATAAGTTATGAGTGAAAGAACCCTAGAACATTCTGTGCTCAAAAGTATAAATAATGTTGAGAATACCTTGACAACATTCGGTTGAAAGTGAATGTATAGTTTAACAATGCACACATGAAACCTTCAATATAACGTATAAAAAAAAACCTGATAGTAGGGTGTCTTCTTTCACAGCATTCCCATCTTCCTATCCAGAACGAGAATCATCCTTGTAAATCTAGCTACAAGTAAGCTAGGCGGCTAGCATACCAATGTTCTGTGTTCCCTCGATGAGTCCACGATGAAACCGTTGAACTCCGGACGATATAACCCTCTGTGTACAACTGTTGAAATCCTGAGTCGCTACCCCCTGGGTAAAAATTGTTGTCGTATCCTGGGTTAACAACCCCCTGGGTGAAACTGTCGTCGAATCCTGGGCTAACAACCCCCTGGGTGAAACTGTCGTCGAATCCTGGGTTAACAACCCCCTGGGTGAAACCCTTAAAATATTACAAAGAAAAAATGTCAATACACATTGACTCCAGTATCCCGAACTATAGGATTACCCAAAAATGTACATAAACTAGAAACTATTCAGCATCTAGGATGAAGAAAAATTACATTGGCTCAACAGTGAGTCATAAACAGTATTATGAGCTCAAATAATAAAAATTCTGTTACACCATGCCATAACATAAAAGAAATTGACAGCCACATGGTGCGTAACATAACCAAATATATACAAAACATACCTTTTTCGTAAAGGGTTAACTTGGTAGCCTTCCAAGGATGAAAAACACGTGAGATGATCCACAGCACAACAATATTCCACACTCCAAATGCTGTGAACTCCCAATTATTGCGTTAAAATCCTATACTAGATATGGGCTGGACCAATGACCATAGGAATTTACCAATACACTAAAATTCTCCTCAAAATACGAGATGCCCATTTACCCACAATTAACCATGAAGTAGAATCTAAAATCCCCTTTAATTAGGTAAGCCGATGGGGCTAAATATTAACAAAACTCTACTTCGACACAAAATTCGTCCTTCTCGTGATTCAACACCCACTGACCAAAAAAAAATACGTCAGCCGTCCAAAATGGCCAAAATCCCTTTCCGATAAATGTCAAGCCAAGTGGGTTCAGAAATTCATCCTCAAGAATTCCCCACTATATAACTTAAGAGACCATTTACGAAAGGTACCCTAAAAACTATATTTATATACAGTATAACTACATTTGGGAAACTGTTCCCGACAAAAATTAATACAACAGCGATCGCAAAAAAATCCCTCACGACTTAAAATCGCTCATTGTGAAACTACCTTACCTCGGGTTCTGATCCCGATATTGGAACGTCCTACAAACATGACACTTGTCGGTGTTCTGTCGTCAAATGACGTTTATGTCATTCACTGTCACAATTAAAAAATATTAACCTAATACTGACAGCTATAACAAAAATAAGCAATGAAATTCTTAAAGAATGGTATCGTAAATAATTAATTACCCAAAGGTGAGACTATAATATATAATATATAATATATATAAATTTACAACGAAACTTGGTCTATTTTTAGGAGAACTACCATCCTTTTACTTAGTGGTGAGATGAAATAAATTGTAATAATGATGTCCGAAAGTTAGAATACAGGTGAAATTAGTTAATGACAAAAATAATAGTGATATCATCAATACGATTTTTTTCGTATGATTAACCAGGTAAGCCAAAACAATTTTAATAATTCGTGTGGCCAAAAATGAACGTTACAAAACCAAAGACATTATGTTGCTTTCTTTAGTATAACCTACTAAAGTAAAGATCTAATGGTAGAAACTGCTTCAAAATGTTTTATTGAAGATATATTACAAAATATATTTAACTTTGACAAAGATATCATAAAAATTAATCTTGACGTTCTCTTTAAAAATTTCGGTAACTATTATGAAATAATTAAATCAAAATATCAAAGAATACCGCTTCATAGGCGTATCAATTGAAAATGTGCAGGAAACCTCTTCATTCTCCCATCCAGATAAATGATTTCTTTGAAATTCGGTTATACTGTTAAAAGCGTAAAGGGGGTTTAACTCTCCTTCCATATCGGGTAACTCTGCCTGTATTCTCCTCTTTGTCGAGCTGGTTGTCAAAATCATTATTTTCATTTGCGTCATGGCCGGGATCAGAAACTGTGGAGCAAGGATTGTGAAATTTGATCGTTGATTGGGAGTTCTCATGTCCTTGCTGTGTAGGTTGAACTTTCTTGTTTGAAACCTTCTGCTGCATGGACTCGACTTCTTCTGGTTCGCCAATCTCTAAAGGGTAAAAACGTTGAATTGGCCTTAAGATCGAATTCCCAGAAGCCGTTCTCAAACGTAATAATCTCACAAAACCATCTTTACCAGGGAACACTTCTTGAATTTTGGCTAGAGGCCACATAAATCTTTTGGAATTTTCATCCTCTATTAAGCCTAAATCTCCAACTTTCGGAATTATACTTTTAATTGGTTTTTTCCTATTCTTTATAGCAAGGATACTTAAATATTCGTTTCTAAACCTACGTCTTAGTTCATCTCTCAGTCTTAGTCGATATCTATATCTGCGTCTTAAATCCTGGGCTTCTACTTGGTCCATATCTGGTACTCCTACTTCTGCTACTTCGTGCAGAAACATTGCAGGAGTCAACGGTTGCCAATCATCTGGGTTTTCGGACAAATATGTTAAGGGACGTTGATTGACAACTGCTTCGCAATCGCAGATGATAGTCGTTAGTTCTTCATAAGTGAGGGTAGCTTTACCCAAAATCTTTCTAAATAACTGTTTCAATATCCTTATCAACCGTTCCCACCATCCTCCCCACCAGGCTGCTGAAGGAGGATTAAATTTCCAGTTGATTCGCTCAGCAGTACTTTTCTTGCAAATTGTGTTCCAATCTAGCTCAGAAAATACATTTTCTGCTCCAACAAAATTGGTACCATTATCGCTGTAGATTATGGATGGTCGACCTCGTCTGGCAAAGAAGCGACGAAGAGCCAATAAAAAACAATCTGTGGACATAGATGTAATCATCTCAAAATGGACAGCTCGATAGATTGCACAGGTAAAAATTAAAATCCAAATCTTTCCTTTGTCTTTAGCAAACAATGGTCCAGCGGCATCAATTCCTATCACTTCAAATACGGATGCGTCTCTGACTCGATCTCTAGGTAGTTGTATCGGAGGTGCTTGAAGCTTTTTTGCTAGTTGTTTTTTACAAATCAAACATTTAGAAAGTGCAGAGCGGACGGTTTTCTTCCCTCCAAGAATCCAGTAATTTTCTCTTAGACTTACTAAGACAGTTTGAACTCCAGCGTGTAATAGTCTAACATGTCGATCAGCAATGAGGCGTGCCACAACAATATGATTCTTTGGCAGTACAGCTGGATATCTAAAAGAGTGTCTATCTTCTCTTTCGCTTATCATCGTTTTTATTCTGATAATTCCAAATTCATCTTTAAAGTGTATAAAATTCTTCAAGTATTCTTCATTATTTCCAAAAGTTTCTTGCTGGATCAACTTAATCACTACTTTTTCTGATTCCAACAATTCTTTTAATGATAGAAAGCTGTGTAAATTCCGCAATTCTCGTTGAAATTTACAATTTAAAATAAATCTTCTTATCCAAGCAACCATTCTCAAAATATCTTCATAACGCGTAAAATAATGAGTCAACCAACCATTGTCAATTTTATTATGAATAATTAACTCCTTTTTGTTTCTCTTCTAAAATAGTTTGTTCGTCTATAACGTAAGTTTGATTGGGCCATTTCTCTGTGGGTTCTAGTAACCATATGGGGCCATTCCACCATTTACTTTCCAGTAGTTTCTTGGGTAAGCAACCTCTGGAAGGTAGATCTGCCGGATTCATAGATCCTGGAACGTGATACCAGAATTCTTCTTTGGTTAGTTTGTGTATTTCTAATATACGATTTCTCACAAAGGGCTTCCAAGTTTCATTTCGTTTAATCCAACTTAAAACTGTAGAAGAGTCGGTCCAGCAATAAACAGGGACATCATCATCGAATTCTTTCCTTACAGACATCAACATTCTGGCTCCTATTGTGGCAGCTAAGAGTTCTAAAACGTGGGATTGATATCGTCTTAATTGGGGATACTCTATTTTTAGCTTGGATGAGCTTGATGTGTGTTGAATTCATGGATTCAGTTCGAATAAAAATTACCGCAGCATAGGCTTCTTGGCTGGCATCACAAAATAAATGCAAACTCTCTTGTTCGCACTCTTCTTTGACATTTGGACGAATCCATCGGGGTATTTTTATATTGGCTAAAAGTTGGACATCTTTAAGCCAATCGAAAAATCTATTTTTAATATCATCTGGGACTTCAGAATTCCATGATAACCTAAGCTTACATGATTTTTGCAACAGTACTTTCGGAATCAATAAAGCTGGGCAAACAAATCCGATTATATCAAAAATTCTGCTTACTGTTGAAAGTATCATTTTCTTCGTAAGTTTTTCTGTAACTGAGCTGGTTTTCAAACCTTCTAATGAAACTTCAAGAGTATCTTCGAACTTGTTCCATTTCAAACCGAGTACTGATGTCAAGGCTGCTTTTTCTGTGGAGTTTTCTTCTTCAGTAAATTCCCAACATCTTAAATCCATCTGTGCTTCCATAAAAGCATTTTGAGCATCCGTTTTGAATTTTACTATTTCTTCTCGATGGTCAAAGCTGACTATACTATTGTCAACATAAAAACTCTTACTAAGATTGGTGAGAAAGGGATGTGTGTACCCTGGATTTTCGATTAGTACGTTTTTAAGATGATGTTGAATGACTGCTCCAAGTAAAAATGGGCTACAAGTCAGGCCAAAAACAACCCTGGTGTGTCTGTAAATTTTCAATTCACCGTCAATAGTATACCATAGGAATCTTAGAAAGTCTCTATCACGCTGCCGTATACTAATTTGAAGGAATGCTTTTTTAATGTCTGAGATTATTCCATATCTATGTTGTCTAAAACGAATTAAAATGGATGGTATCAATTCGATAAAGTTCATTCCTTTCTCCAGACATTGATTTAAAGATGGACTTTGGGCATTTTCTCTAGCTGAAGCATCGAAAACTGGCCTCAATTTTGTAGTGGCACTACTTAGTTTTATAACATGACGATGAGGTAGGTAGTGTCCTCTAAGTTGGTAGTCTTCTTTAGAAACCTCTTCTATAATCCCTTCCTCTAGCCATTCTAGAAAGACTCGATTATATTCTTCACGATAACCATCTTTGTCCAACTTTTTTATTAATGAATCTAATCTTTTTTTGGCAATGTGAAAATTAGTGGGTAGGGAAGGGTGGTTTTCTTTCCACGGGAGACTTACTTCATATCTGGAATCAGTTGATCTTTTCACAGTATTAATAAAATGTTCCATTGCTGCCTTCTCGGCTTCAACTCTGGTAAATTCTTTCACTGGATCATTTATACCAAGAAGTTCAAGATTCCAAAAATCAGTCATCTTTTGGTCATTTACTAACATAGTGGTGATAAGTATACAACTTGATCTTAGAGTAGTAGCATGAATCGGTGCTTTGCCCATAATGACCCATCCCAGTTTTGTCTCTATAAGAATTAGTCCACAGGATAAAACATATTGTTTTCCAGTATATAGTTCTGCAGCTATGTCTGCCCCAAGTAAGAGCTCTATTGGACCATCTTCAGTATCATTTATAGTTAAACCTAAGTTTTCCATTTCTTGTAACCAGGGACCATCGTAAACGCAAATAATGTTTCCGCAAATGACAGGTTGATCGAACGTTTCAAATGAGCAAGAATACTGATTGTCTAAACTGGATAAATGTGTCTCATAGCAAGTATGGTTTATACTTTCAGTATGGTAACCACCAAAGAGAGCATGTATCATCTCTTCTTGTCTTAAAACTTCTAACCGCATATCAACTGCTGTTTTTTTAAAAATATAGGATTTCTGAGATCCAGTGTCTATAAGTGCTCGAACTCTTTTAGATTGATATTGGTGTACTATGTTAACAGCTAAAACTTGCAAAAATACATGGTTATAGGTCTGGTTTGTCAATCCAGTTGTGGGTGCTGGCTTGAATTCTGTTTTTGAAGATGGATTTTTAATTTGTGTTATTTGACTAGAATTAAAATTCTTGTCTTCTTCACTTGTGCACATTAAAGGTACATGTTTACCACCGCACTTCTCACACTTGAGTCTTGAGTACATGGTGCATTTCTTTGCCAAATGTCCGTGCCTCAAACATCGATAGCAACAGCCATTTTCAAGTAATTTCTTTTTCTTTTCTGGAAATGTCAATTTTAGAGCTTCTTCACATCTGGCACTAATGTGTTGTTGTTTGCAAAAACTGCATCTCGGATTCTGATTAAATAAACCTATAGCGGAAGAAATGCTAGGCCTATTTTCCTCTTTCTTTTTTTGTTTTGTCTCGAAGCTTGCAGCTAATGAGATTCTCTCTTCATTTTCGACCTCGCGCTTTAAAAATATCATTAGGTTGTCTAACCTTTTCTTTAACGGGTCAGCAGTAGAAAATGTTGAGCTTCGTTGCCAAGTTCTTAAAACATCTTCTGGCAAACTTGATTCTAGTAAAGGATAGAGCATCGCTGAACACGTATCTGTTGTTACCCCAAGTGTGTTCAGTGCCCTTAATTGAGTTTCCATTTTATCGTAGATTGAAGCCAAATTGGTTTTGTTGGTCAAATTATTCAAAACAAGTTTAAGAAGCTCTCTAACATAAAATTCAATCAACAAATCGTCTCTACCGAATCTGGATTTTAAACTATCGATTGCCTTTTTGTAGTTTTCGCCAGTTGGTGGATAACTCTCTATAAGGTGTCTGGCTTTGGAATTGGTAGCCTGCAACAAATATTGAAATTTGTCGTCGTCTTCCATCTCATCATCTTCGTGGATACGCTTAAATAAACTCCAGAATTGTATCCAATCTTTAATATCGCCACCAAACTTTTTAAAATCTATTTTTGGGAGATTTAGTTTTGGTCGACTTAAAGAAGCAGTGCTGGCTTTTCCAAGTGTAGGTTCAGTTAAAATCTTATTAATATCAAAAGCTAGCGCGCTGAACCTTATCGTTGCTTCATGAGAATTTCTCATCACCTTTGCGATATCTTCTTCGGGTTTTCCATCATTTAGCATCTTGCATATCATTTTATTAGATTCTTCCTCGAATTCATCATTTAATTTTTCCAACAGCTTAAACGTACCTTGCAGCTTTGCTATATCTGGGTTCGTGTGCTTTAGAGAAGCTTCTAAATCATCACAGTACGTATCGAAAGAGCTTTTAAGGAGTTTTAGAACCAAGGTCTCATGTGACGTCATCCTTTTGTAAATTCTTCAGCAGTATCTCGTCGGGGCCTCCAAATGTTGCTTTCTTTAGTATAACCTACTAAAGTAAAGATCTAATGGTAGAAACTGCTTCAAAATGTTTTATTGAAGATATATTACAAAATATATTTAACTTTGACAAAGATATCATAAAAATTAATCTTGACGTTCTCTTCAAAAATTTCGGTAACTATTATGAAATAATTAAATCAAAATATCAAAGAATACCGCTTCATAGGCGTATCAATCGAAAATGTGCAGGAAACCTCTTCACATTACAACATAGAGACAAAATGTTTCATTCATAAATCCCATACAATTGCGGACTGTTATTGTTTTAAAATTGTTAGTGAGTGGAAGAGAGAAAGACAGATCGCTTAGGACCGGCTGGAAACGTTGTAAACAGTGTCCATAATATGCTCGCCAGTAGCGTAGGTTTTAAACTTATCAGTATTGTCAGAGTAGTATGTTAAAAAAATATGTAAATAAGTAGGTATATTTTTTAGTAATATAATTATGATGATTTTTTTATGTACTGTGATGTTTGTTTATTTTCAAACAAAATTATTTATTAATAATTTATTTAAACACTTATTTATTTTAAACAATACTATTTTAATTTATATATACTTCGAATGTCTTTAAACTGATCACTATTTATATATTTTTAAACACCGTAAATGATTTAATATGTAAACATACTGTTAAAGTTAAACAAACTAAAAAAACGATTAAAAGAAAGGAGTGGATAACTAATAGCATAATGAAATCCATAAGCGAAAGGGACAGATTATATAAAAATTATCAAAAAAATTCATTAGATCTAAATTTAAAACGAGAGTTTATTATATATCGAAATAAATTACATAATCTGATTAGTTTAACAAAATTAGAATATCATAAACGACAAATTGAAAAAAATAAATATAACTCAAAAAATCTGTGGAAAACTATAAATAATATGGCAAATTCAAATCCTAAACATTCTAATATCAAAGAAATAACGTTATTAAATAATACTAAATCTACTAACAAATTAGAAATTGCCGATACATTAAACACATTTTCTACAAACATTGGACCCGATCTTGCTAAAAATATTCAAAAACCTCCACTTTTTCATTCAAAGAGACGTATTAATAAAAATTCAATTTTTATGAAACCAGCCACTGAAACAGAAATAATTAAATTAATAAATGCATTAAAAAATAATAAGGCTCCCGGTATTGACGAAATAAAATCAGAATTACTTAAAGAAACTAGCACTGAATTAGCTAAACCATTATGCTTTCTAATTAGCAAGTTAATTTCAGACGGAATTTGCCCAACTGAATTCAAGGTTGCCATCATAAAGCCTCTTCACAAAAAAGGTGATAAAAGTCTGCCTTCAAACTATAGACCAATTTCACTACTAAGTAGCTTTGCGAAACTATTTGAAAAAATTATAAAAGTTAGGCTTGAATCATTTTTAATTAGCGAAAAAATTTTGTCAACCAACCAGTTTGGTTTTCAGACGGGAAAATCAACAGAAGATGCTATATCTGCATTAATATCAAAAATGTATGATGCTGTTGAACATACGAAACCGGCAATTGGAGTATTCTTGGATCTTGCAAAGGCGTTCGATACTGTAGATCACAGTCAGTTATTGGATGCATTGGAGGATTCAGGAATACGTGGAACAGCTCTAAAAATGTTTAAATCTTATCTTCAAAATCGTACACAACATGTAAAAATAGATGATTGCATAAGCTCAGCGCAAGTTGTGAAATGTGGAGTTCCGCAAGGGACAGTGCTAGGGCCGATTCTTTTTATCCTATACTTGAATAACTTACTTACCTTAAGCGTTACTGGAACCATATACAGTTTTGCCGATGATACGGTACTATTTTACACTGCTGAGACTTGGTCTGATCTGAAACAGAAAATAGAAGACGATATGAAAACTATTATTGATTGGTTTAATTTTCATCTTTTAACAATTAATTATGAGAAAACGATGTTTCTACCTGTTTGCAGTTACAAAAATGGAATGCCTACCTACAATGAATTAAAAATATATAATGAACATACCAAAAAAAACATAAAAATTAAACTTACTAAAGATATAAAATACCTTGGTATAACGATAGATTGTCACTTACGATGGGATTACCATATAAATAACGTCACTAAAACATTAAGATCCTTTCTGGGACGATTTAAATATTTGTCGAATGTTCTAGATTTACCATATTTAAAAATGTTTTACTATTCACTTTAGATTATCATATGGAATTTTGGCTTGGGGCGGAACTGTAGATGTATACCTAGAAAAATTACAAACGCTTCAGAAATATTTTTTAAAAATAATATTAGGAAAAGAAAAAACTTACCCTTCTGCCAGCTTTTTCGAGACGCATTAGTGTTGGATATTCGTCAGACATTTTTTCTTAAAACCCTAATTTTTTTATTTAAACACAAACAAAATTTTAATGAAATATCTCATCTCTATACTACCAGAGCTAAGAAAAATAATTATCTTCAAGTTCCAACTACACAAAAAACAATTGGCCAAAGAAACTTTGACTTTTTAGCACCCCGTTTTTATAATTTTTTACCAGAACATTGTAAAAATTCGTACACGTCAAACCATTTTAAGAAATCAGTTAAGTTTTTTCTAACATCTAATAATAGACAATTAATTTCCCACTTTTTTCAATTTGTTAATTAATATGTTATTTTCCTATTGTATTATTTCCCTATTATGTTATTTTACTATTATGTTATTTTACTATTATGTTATTTTACATTATTTATCAAATTGTTGATTTCATATTTATTATTTATATTATTGTATTCTATTATATAGCAAATAAGTTGCAAAAATAATATTACTGTTAATTTATGTGATAACAATATAAATATAAGTTTTAAAGTATCTTGAATCATAAATAATATTAAGATAATACACAGTAATAATTACTACGTTCTAACTTATACCACGGACAGCCCTCCGGCTTTGTGGTACACCAGTTTATTGGTAGGTGATTGTACTGTAAAGAAACAAAAAATATAAATTTAAAATTTATTGTAAAAATTACTGTTCTTACTAATAAACATTATTATTACATTATTATTATTATTATTCACCACTGTCTATCTACTAATTACTATTTATCTTCACTGTCCATATATCAACTGATCTGATGGCTCATCCACCAATATTTATATACAAATTTCTAAAATTTGGTGGAGTCGCGAAGCTTCTCTACCAAACTAGAAATATTTCGAACAGTCCAGAAATATTATCTCGTCCTTTCTCGAACATCATCGAAATCACCTCCGCCATAGTCGTCCCATAGGATTGGTCTTAAGGCGTTTAATTATGTTTAATAAGCGGACAAGTTGAGCCTTAAAGGCCAAATAAGACAGAGAGGGACTTGTAGGGTTAGAGCATGACTGAATAATGAAATGGATCACATAACATTGCCCCCTCCTTAAGAGATAGTTCCTCCTGGAACTCTTACGAAACTAAACTGGAATCGTTGTATTTGCAACTGAATCCTCTTTTACAATTTCCAGTTGCATGGAAGTAACAAGGGACTGTCTTCGCTGTAACCTGGGCACTGGGCGAATGGCTGCAGACCAGTATCTGAACTCCGGTATCTTGAAAGATTACTTCCACCATATTCCTAATGATCCTCCAATTCAGTTGATTTCCTTCAATCTTTGGCATGGCTAGTTTCTGTACATTGGACTTCCGCACGTGCTCCCTTAGACTAAGTAATGCTTCCCATACATCCTGATAGGTGGATCGATCTTGGAAAGTGTTCTTCGTTATTAAATAGAAAAGATGACGCAACCCGTCTTGAAGTTTTAAGGCTTTTCCAGGGGCTGGTAACTGACATTGAAGTTCTACCAGTCGACCGAACTTCTTACGGAACACATATGCCAGTCCTCGCGCGTCATTGATGGTGGCGGAAGTACTATGAACCAACTAGTAGTCTTTCGGAAGCGAGAGCAGATCATGTTGTTGCTCGGTCGTAACACCATATCTGGCTTTTCTAGTACCTCCGTATGCACCCATAAATTCTTCAAAGACAAGGTCTGGTGTTTCTTGAAGTTGGTTTACTTCTTCTTCATGGTCACCCTCACCAACCTATTTTGATGCACTACCTTTGGTTTATTGTTTGGGATCTTACTTATACGGTAAATTACATCATTTATTTTATTCCTTATGAGGTACGGACCTTCCCAAGACCTTTGAAGCTTCGGAGAATAACCCTTTTGTCTTTTTGGGTTTGTCGCCTTCCTGGAAACCTCCCTCCATGGCTTGGGTATCATATTGTCATGCTAAACAAATATAACCCTATATATATATAAAATATACATTTTCTATTTTAATATACATTCGTTAAGTTAAATAATTTAGCATAATATTTTGATAAACATTAGATGCAATACATAAGTACGTCCTTAATAAATATAAATATAACATTAAACTAGACACGTACTGACCTTAATCGATTATTATAAAAATCAGCTAGGTCAACAATAGTGACACTCTTGGTCGGAGTCTCATCCGAGACTCTTGGCCGGGGTCTCCTCCAAGACTCTTAGTTTGAGTCTCATCATCTCATCCCAGCAAAGAAGTGACGTGACGTGCCCTCGTCGCCCAGTTAGATGTATAGCCCATGATAAGGCCCATATTGTATTATTAATATTATTATTGTATATTGTGTATTGATTGCTATTACTGATAAATAAATTGTTAATTGTTCTCGTAATATTTTATTTCTTCAAGTCAGGTAGCACATAGAGTCATTATTTAAATTGACTCAATCACGAAAAATAGGCTCGTGACAATATCGCTTCTTCATTCTGTCGCTAGCGATTTGAAGATGCGAGCGAACTAATTCATGTATGTCGTCCATTCTTCTTCGTAACTGGATCACATAATCTTCACCAGCT